TTCCTCTTGGAGTCTGGCCGTGGTGGCGTGAACGGCGTGGGAGAGGGTAGCGCGCGCCGGCCCTTCGCGCCGCCGTTGCGCAGTTTGCTGTGCACGGAGGAGCGCGTCTCCGTGAAGTTGGTCATGTCGGTGGGTGCCGCGCCTCGACCGCGTTTTGCCCGACCTTTCGGCGTCCTCGAGTCCAACTCCTCCGTCGGGGAGTCACAAAACCTAAAAATTAAAAATAATTAAATTATATGATAAAAAATATAATTTAAAGAAAGAAATAACAAATGAAGGTCACTAACCGCGGCGGCGCCCAATCATGTCGCGTACAATCCAGTAACGTGCCCACGTAGGTCTTCCCCCGCCAGGTTACATTGACTACTAGGACACCTGAAACAATACAAATGGGTCGTTAAGCGCATCCACACGTAGCTGCGGCTTTATGTGGATATAAATAGCGCGGCGACGGGATAAGTTTTTGTAAGAGTTGCGGCTCGAGGCGAACACGGAATGCAGCGGGGTTTATTGGTGTCGGCGAGAGCGGTTCCGATCCAATTTGTCTCGGGAGCGCTCATTTGCATAGGGGGAGCGGAGAGGCGAGCGGGGAACTGGGGGGGAGTTAGGGGGTGCGGCACGAACGTGACTTTAGCCGCATATTTAGAAACACCCGCACCACGCTAAGCGCACCCCTGCTTATCGCGCTAGCGTGGTAACTTATGCAAATTTAATTAATCAATTTCACCCCACTATATTGGAGCGTGATGCTCCTTCATAACCATAAAATTGTATCAACATATTTTGCATATCGTAAAAACGTTGATACAATAAATGTAAAATTTGATGTTATGAATATAGGATTATGATTTTACAGTTTAAACATAATAGTCCAACATATAAACAGATTTATTGGATCAAATGTATATTTTTTTTTTATTTTGTTTTCCGTGTTTATAATAAAGTTTGTAAACCGACTTGTAGTTAAAGTTATTTACGGGTTAATACTGAAATAGATATTAAAAGAAATAACTACATACTAACTACGTATATTGTTTACATAAATATTTAAGAAACTTTAATTCTACAATAGTAATATAACATAACCGTTTTCACTAAAAAAAACAACTAATTTAAAGAATTTCTTTTCTTGTTAACTATAAGATATCAAATAATATACATAAGTGAAAACAGACATGGTTACATGTGAATATACGACTATACAAGTAAAGCTGTCTCGAGTCTCGTGAAATAATAAATCGAAGCAAAAGCAGACAGACGGGGCCGGGGCCGCGTGCTATATCTCAATAACTCCACCATTATTTATTGTTTCACGAAACAATGAACACATAAAGCATTTCTCTATAAGCTATTAGCATAAAATGAACGACCAATTCAAACAGATTCATTGCAGATAAAAATCAATGTCAAAATATATTACATTTTTATTTACAAACGACTCATTGTATTAAAGAACTAATTAAGTGGTGAATTAATTGATTTATTGTTAGAACTATGAAAGTATTATATATTTTTAATTGATTGAAGTTTCTTAACTTTTAAACTAGATGGCGTTGATGATTTGATTTTGTTATCGAATTTATAGTGAGAGTTGTTTTATCACGTCCAGAGACTTAAAAATATCACTTAGGTTGTCCTTTAGATTTAATGAGGGATATCTACATGGAGCAACTATCAACCATTGACCAACTTGTATACTTCTCTGAGTAAGCCAATTAAACGATCAGAAGTCCATAAACATTTTAAAATAATTCCGTTACATCAAAACTTTAAAATTAAAATTTTTACCATTAAAAAAACCTTTGTTACGCTTAAATATTGAAGCGATTAGTTCATTGACAATTAGGTAAGGGTATAACAAGGCAATAGGTTCATTTGGGCGGCGCTAATTACACTCCCGGCAGCGATCAGTGGACTAATGGCTATCAGCTCATTCCCCTAGCTCGCACCTCGCCAGGCCGCCCACCCTTACAACTTCCTCGCTTTCGCGAATATTATTTATATACAAAAGCCTAAATACATTTAAATAAACACAAACTAAAATAATCCCATGACTTAAGAATTCACTTTTAAACTGTCTTTAATAAATTAAAGCTTGGTTTCTAAAATACTTGTCAAACTAATTAACATATTCAAAGATAATAAAATATTTTTATTCGTGTAATTCGATATATGAAAATAAATCGTAAACCGTCGTATATACAGAAATCTGACAGACTGAAATTGATTCTTGTCGAAATAAAATTCTTGGCAATGTACAACGTATAAAAACATAAAGAGAATACGTGAGCCACCGGACCGACAGTCCGGCAGTCCGGGCAAGCTTTGTTAGATCTAATCAGCGCGAGCCTTTGTTTCCCACACCAGAGCAAACAACGTCCGGAGGATTTCATTTACATCCCGTACATCGCTCTGTCTGTCCAAAGTTTACACTCTTGAAAGCCCAACACAAAACGGGAGTTAATTAGCATGTAAATAATTCACTAACAGACACGAAATGGTTACCACTAGTATCCCAAACATGTATGTTTGCTTCTAGATTTGCCTTTTGTTATTTTAAAAACATATACGTGTGCATTCGTCTATGATCGGATCGTTAAATGTTTGCTAGAGGCGTTTATAGCTTTAACTAGAGAGGTCTGGCACTAAGTACCCTTGACTTTAGTACCTCTTGTACGATCAGGCTCGAGTTGTTACCAAGTTTGATAAAATTGACATTACATTTTCATCGTTTTTTTACATTTTATTAACATTATTGTACAGTTAGTAAATCGCAAGTAATACAAACACATTGATATAATGAGAAACGAATAACGAAACAAGGTTGTGGTGTTTTCGATTTATACTAATTTACCAAAAAAATCTTATCTTTAATATACATTCTGAAAAAAGATTCCTACTTCAGATAATAGGAACTGGTTAAACCATTCATTTACTTTTCATGAAGATTGATTCATAATTTAGAGCAAACGCAATACAAAATAACTTTATTTTTGTCTTTAAATCGCTCACTTTGTTAAAACCTCAACGTTATATTTAGAGCTAGCAGTTGACGCATTTACGGCTGGCTTAATTTGTGGGCAAACAGAGTACGCTTTAAAAATTAGACGTAAATAAATTGTGAAGGGCGTGATGCGGTCGTATTTTATAGAAACAGAAGCCAGATGGTGATTTATTATCAAATTTTATAATAATTACGCATTACGTAGACGCTGTACGCGTGACTGCCGGCCCTAACTGACAATGAGTACAATTTTGTCACAGATAACACAATCACGTTTTAGTTCGTATCAAATAGACATTAGCCAGCGCTCCATTATGTTCAAACTGGTATTAGATATTGAATTAATAAACAATAATAGTTGTCGAACTACATAAATAAAATATTACGTATTTATGATGCGTGATACGTTTATTAATTAAAATATGTATAAGTGAATGCAGCAGTTGGCATTATTCGACACCTTCTACTGTTTATATGGCCATTAAAAAGTAATGAAGGGTCATAAATATTTCATGAGATCGACAAGAAGCGTCGACTTATAAGGTCATGATAAAACCTAAATGATAAAACTGGCAGGTGAGAATAATTTGAAATTTAAAACTGAGCCGATTCTTTTAATAATTCCATTTTTCACCAGTTAAAAGTACTTGTTACTGATATACGTTAAAGGTTAGCTCTCTCCTTTTCTCGCATGTAGCGTGGTTAGTGAGGGTTATTAATATTCCGCGATGTTATCTGCCACTAATAAGCAAGCTTTAATTATATGGAGACTCTTGTTGACTCCGCTGTTTTATGTGCGCCATGAATATATTAATATAAATCGTAACTTACGGATTGTAAGTTATAAAATATCATAAACGAGAAAGGGAGAAAGAAGATTGTTATGGCCGCCATGAAATGCGAACGACGACAAAAAAGGTTTGGAACGCGTTCCGTTATCGCTTTAAGCCAGGTGTTGTAAATTAAATTATTATTGCCCCTTTTATAATGGTCGTTGGCGTAATTGTAGTTATTACGAAAGTCTGTTTTTTAAGGTCATGAAGACCATTTATAAAACGTTAAGGTTGTCTCATACGCAATTAATATTTTTGGAATATGACTTTTTCTTTAATTCTTAAATTAAACGTTATTGAATTTTTAAAATTATCAGTAATTAATCTACGTGTGACTTTATTCAAGTTGATTTATCGAAAGTTAATACGATGGGAAGACATCTTAAATTCCTTTAATGTATGATGTGTCTGTACAGTTCATTCCGGTATTTACTCCACTTAACTAAAATGTCATGTAGAAGCGTTAGCGAACCATTAAGTCTCCCTTAGCGCCCAATTAACGATTCCTTGTGCGTCAATTAGATAACCCACTAAGAACCAATCTACATATACAACACCTTGATAGAAATATTATTTGAATTGAAAAATGTTTGTATGAGAGATGATAAAATACGAAATGTATGGATCGCGAAGCCGATACAATGTACTAGGCGTGCATAAGCGTGCTGTGAGTATGAGGCGAGAGCGCTACGGTGCGTTGCGTTCGTGCGCTAGTAACAACTCACCACCTTCCGTTTCGTGCCACACGATGCCCTCCAACGTGACCGAGGTACCAGGCTCGCAGGGGCCGAGGCAGTCGGGCTCCGTAATAGTACCGACTGACGTGCCCACACATACTTCGGCAGTTTCCTGGGAATAATAAAGAAATTAAGTATCAATATCACTTAACGAGACTTAATGTAAACAAAACACTCCAAATAATCCATAACAATAATGATAAATACCACAAGTACTGAGAAATCTTATATTACAACGCACAGATAGCGTAAATAGATATTAACTACTTATAATCAACAACGTTATTGAAGATTTACACATTATTATGTTTAGTAAAACTTTTCATATTTGCCCACAATTCGTGAAAGACAAACATAATAACTATCGCGTGCAATTACGATGCCGCCGAAGTCACAGCGGTCTCATTAAATAACTCGTAGTTATCCGCCTGTTACATCTACATGACGTGACCTAAATCCTCGGCTTTAGGAAACCGATGAATCTAATTGCTTCCTATGAATACTTCGATGAAGTTAAAATAAGTTCCGGAATTATAAGAAAACATTTTTTGTTAAAATTTTAAATTAATTCAAAGTAAAAAAAAATCGTTGAAAAATAAAAAAGCGAATACTTGAAAACCGTTAATGTAGTCTCTGGTACTCATTGGGATTTCATAAATGCAAAGAACGTTTACGACGCGGAACATAATCAAATGAAGCCATTTACATTCAGACGGCGATACGTGCGAGGAGTGCACCGATATCGTTTCATCTCTTTCTTCCGCACTGCTAACAGCCTCGCAAATTATGAACAAGCAATTCACTGAATCCGTAGATATGTCTGCCAAAGCATTATACTATTGGAAAAATAACAAAATTTTATGTGAATTCACTTTCTTGCAAAATAAAAACCTGAACAGTATGTTGATATTGGTATATTTGTACGATCGCGTGTGCTTTTACCAGATAAGTTTGTATATTTTATAGAATAAGGGGAAAAAATGTTCGCTGGTAAAGCAGCAACAAATAATAATTGAAAAAAACTCGTTTTGTTAGTGCAATGAAAAATATAACAAACTAGCTGTCCGTCCACGACTCCGTCCGCGTGGATATATAAAAAAACTTAATTAGTGTAGCCTATGTGTTCTTTCAGACTATGTTCTATACGTGTGCCAAATTTTAATCGAAATCCGTTCAGCCGTTCTAGAGATGTCTTTAAACACTCATCCATCCAAACATTTGTATTTATAATTTTAGTAAGTTAAATAAAAAGCAGCTCTTCAAGGCGTAAATCCGAAAAAAATAATAAATAATATCATATGTTCTCCTGGTTCTAAGCTACCTCCTCACCAATTTTCAGCCATATCGGTAAAGCCGTTCTTGAGTTACAAATAGTGTAACTAACACGACTTTCTTTTATATATATAGATGAATTAAAAACTAATTATCAGACAGTTATTTTGTGTTTTGTAAATTACAATATGGCTCTGTTATAAATTTATGTTTTCTCATTTGTGATTGTCTTTCAAGTTAAAAAGTAATCAAACTGCTTTTTAATTGGATGACATTTTTAACCATTCAGCTTAATTAATTAAGCCCAGTTAATTACATCAACATATTTTACATGGAATACAAGCTTAATTACAAAAGTATACATTTCTTAATAAGACTTAAACGACAGAGGCACGTAAATTATGTAAGTACTTTATTTGTTTTTAAACTAAATAAATATAATATATTACATACACTCCAATATATTTTACTAATATGTTTATATGTTAATGTATTATCAAGACAAAGTCGAGTCAATACTTTAAAGAGATAAAGACGAATTGATGACATCAACACCCACACGCGTACTTTATAAATAACATTAAATGCTTTATTGTTATACTGATGACAAATGCGCAAGCCCACGCCCACGCGTGCGCTACGGACAATGCGGAATTATACGTTGGCCTGAGAGAATTAATATTTTGACACGCCATGTCGCTATTAGATCCCTTATCGCGCGGGAATTACACGCGGAGCTCTGCATTGTAACGCGAGGGGTCCAGTGACTTATGCGCGCCTGGTCGGACACATTGTAAACGCTAGGGGAGGCCAACAGCTGCTGTCGATGTTACACTTTTTTTTTATAAATAACCATTTAAGACCACGTTCTTATACCCGATCATGTGTCCTGAAGTGAAACTAACAAGTTTTGAAAATACTTTATCTTGTTTGACTTATCTAAAACCGAAAATAACCAAAAAAAATTCCTCTTTTTCGTCACTAAACTGCTGTAACATGTCTTTAGTTTTTGTTTGAACGATATTATATTTAATTAAATAGATATTGTCGGCAAACTTCAAAAGTATGTAAATCAATACCCACCCAGGCGACGCGAACAAAGGAGCGCGTGAAGAAATGTAATGAGCACCCTGACTTAAGTCGCTAAAGGAATGGTTCAAAGACATTTTGAAAGCAAAGTGTCTTTATTTGACTACATCAACGTATGCCGCAAAAGGAAAGCGCATCGGTGAGTGACAACCGGACGCCCACATGCCTAATGATTATGAAACAATGTCTCCTCTACACGACCCGTCGATGTCGTGACTCACACGCGATTTGTCTCTATTCACTCTGACAAGAAGCAATTTGGTCCGCGGCCCGTTATAAATCGCAGCTCAATATCTCGGGACATTTGGCAACGTACCGCTCCGCACGGCTAACAATTTCCGACAGTATAACCGAAATTACAATCAACAACAAAACGAACGGCAATACATCATTTTGATAATTTCGAAATGGAACGTTGCTTACGTTTATGGTAGCCTGGTTACAAGCTGTTCGATGTCGCATGTCGTGCTACCTTACCGTCATTGGTTTAAAGTTAGTTTACTAAATTTATAAACCAACACCAGCAAACAGTATTTAAATTAGTAATGCAGTAAATTAACTTGCTCAGACAATGTAGAAAATGAATGAATGTGCAGACTTGAAGCATTGTATCAAAAATAAAATAAAAATAATACTTTTATTTAAAATGTACTTCAATTTGGTAAAAGGAAGAAAACCGTCTATCTTCAAACCGTACTTCTTACAAATTGAAATAAAATTACTATAAAATCTTTTAGGATGTAAGGCGCTATAAAATTCAAACGAAAAGGCTACGCTTTAATATTTACCTCAACTCCACCGCATTCCGCATTCAGAAAATTTACATAAATTTGAATAATGAACTCGGGCTTCCTGTTATTTCTAACAATGTTTCAATATATTAAAATGGGTGTGAAGATCATATCGGAATTAATTAACTTAAACATATGAACTATGTGTAATCGTCCGTGACGAAATGACGCAATAACAATGTAATTTCTTGCTTATTATACAAATGAAAAGCGTAAAGTACAAGACAAATAATAATAAAATAATTAGAGTAAGGTTGATTTAACCCTCAAGTTTTTAATAAAAATATATTTTGCAATTAAAGTTCATTTTAAGAAAATGTACTTAAGTTGTAGAGTAATTGGTTGATAATTTCTTACTTTACCTTAATTTAATTAACTGCATTCATGAATAATAAATACGTAAGCAAGGTTTTAAGTTTTAAGTTTGTGATTAAATGAAATGCTCGTTGAATAAATAATAATACCTTAATATATTTTTATGCGCCTGTCATCGTTTTCGGTAAAACTTTATTATCACTTAAGTACATAGTTTGACATTTATATCCATAAAGTAACTTGTTTTATAACGACTTAGTCAATACTAAACATTCACTAAGTAGTTAATTATATAAATAACAGTTGCAATTAAATTATAACGCTAAAACGGCGCAATCTGAGCTCACCAGGCACCAGGGCAACAGAGCTGGGGCGGAACGGACCCTACTCAAGCCGCTCCCATACTAATTAACTTTGTACAATTCGATTTGGTCTCGCGCGTAACCGTTTAATATTCGTTTATTCCCAACTCCTTATCGCGTACAAATATTACCGTGGACCGTAATAAAAACGTCAAGGGACAAATAAATTTTAGTTCGAGTATCCACGTCTTGTTTTCGAGGGATTATTTATGCTTTAAAATAACAAATGAGGTAATGACAAAACATAAATAAACTTGTGTCGTAAATTACGAGTCCTTAAGTTGAAGTACCTAAACATAAAATCCAAGACGAATTTATTATTGTTTTTAAAAAAACAGAAGATCTAGTGAAGACATTTTGTACAAAAACACGTTATCTCTTATCCCTTTGAAAATTTTTACCAAAATAGTTTAGGTGTTTTTTGCTGCCGAAAACATCGTTACAAAATCAAAATATTCTAATGGCTTTCTACAAATTAAACACTTATAGTTATAATTTTGATTAACAATTTACTTATCTTCATTATACAGGTATTCGAAAAGACTAAAAAAGTTTTTAATATCGTTTAAAAATTTATTTAATGTATAAAAAGAAAGCAAAATTAAACAAGGATAAAAGCCGTTTACGGCAAGAGACCCTCGTTCCAAACTGAAATATTAATTAAAAATAAAATCCTACTCCGGGAACTGCGAGAAGTAATTAAAACAGATATAAATGTAACGACCGTAAACATTCAATTGTAATTGGGGCCGAATGATGATGTTTAAAATAATAATTTACGTCGCATTAAAGTTTTTGGAGCGCCAGAGTTAAGCACCTCTGCCCCAACGGCGTTGCCTTTTCAAATCTCTTAATTGCCTTTTTAATTACAGGCCATATAAAGTTGACATTTTGACTTTTATGTAAATAGTACTGAGTGGTGTGACATGTAATTGAGAATAAAAATGATGCTTTAAATTTCCATCCAAAAGTTAAATTGTCGTTTTAATTTTTGCATCACAACTTAAAAGTTTCACAGCAAATTCATAAATCTGTTAAAATATAAATATGTTTAGACTTATGATAGCCTAGTACTGGATATAGTTTTCGATCCCAAAACTTGTAGTTTTTTTTTAATTGATCTTGTGTCGCTTTTTTTTAATAAGGTTAGTTAGTAATGGCAGATATCTGCCAATGTTTATTTTCTCTAACAATATAAAAGAAAATATTGCATAAATTTAAAAGAAAGAAAAAGGATGCTCAAGTCTCATTAAAATGCATAATGTAAGTTTAAATCCACCGCATAACATAACCGTTAAGTAAAAAGAAAGTGCGGCAAGCCATATAGTTCAGCAAACGCTTTAAATTCTTTTACTATGCAAATACTTGGCCGGCTTCTTTACGCGAGCAAATATTGAAAATTCTCGAGCGAATAAAATTCCTAGCAAAATATTTTTTAATATACACGACTCTGTTGAACGGTAGCTCTTCAAAAGGGGAACTTTCAATCTAAAGACGAACGAAAAACGAGGATTTATATTGTACGAATGCAGACATCTCCTTCTCTGAGAATAACTATTCCTTTTTAATAGTTTACATCAATTTTATTCAGATTTTTATTAAGATAGCTGCGATAGTTTCATAAAAAAATTGAAAATATTTTGGCATAAATAAATCTGATAACATGCTTTTGTCCGGAAACTAATATTAAATATATTACTAAAGTTAAGTTTGTCTTACATTACGAGTATTTAAACGAATTAAAAATACTGGTTACTTCTAACCAGTATTTTACTCAAAAGTAAAATTCGTTTTTTTTTCTGATAAAATTTTAAT